GATAAATTATTACAAATTAAAAACATCAGTTTAAAATAAATTACAAAAAATTAAAGTCACAAACATGAAACTAAAAACTACAAAAATAAACAAATAAATTACCACAAAAATAATACATACCAAATATCTGTGCACTCGCATAAAAAAAATTGTCAGCCATGGAAATATATTCAAATTCACTAAAAATGAACTCGCTAAAACATAAACTTATTAAAACATACAAGCTACTATGGTCGTGGAATTCAACGTGCTGAACTACGTTTCCTCAACACTTTAAATGTTCTACATCTCTTGGTTGCCACATGCAAAAAACAAAATGAAAAAAATAATTAACTGACCTGAAAAACATTACCTAAAATTATGGTACAGTCAAAAGTCTTTAATCCGGACGTCCATAATCAGGAATGATCTATAATCCGGACCTCAAAGCTACAAACTTTCTGCGCATGTGTCAATGCATAATGCATTAACGCATGCGCATAATACCTTTACACAAGTGCATATGCGTTTACAAAAGCTCTATGTTTGCCACAAGGAAACACACAGCCAGAAACCACAGCCAAATCGAAATTGCGCCAAATAAAAACTCTCACCAAGATTTGTGCTCATCCTCCTTATGGAAGATTAATCACATTTCCATAAAATTCAGATGCCCTATTTCTACGGATATGCAATGCTTTCTTTCCCATCAGCCAGCGAAATCCAAACTTTGATTACGATTCATTATGAACAGAAAAAATATGCATTTAATGCCAGGAGGGAAAAAAAAAAAAAAAAAAAAAAAAAAAAAAACACGAATGAGGAAAATGAAAAAGAAACTTTTGGATTGAATTCCAGAAGTGCAAATCCGCATATACAATAAACCGAGGTGTGCTATGCACATATCTGTGCTGCCATGTAAATACGTTTGGGTGATATACTGTGTCATCTCATGAATAATTTTTCATGACTTTTTGGTAGGGGTGTGAATAATCCGAACAACCCCAATATCCTGGAAAGCACTGGCTGAGAATACATTAGTCTAGAGTAGATTTCTGGTTAAGGACAATGTCCATGCTGGACTTTACATCATTGAATTCAAGAAAGCATGGACAAGATTTCTAGCAATTCTAGTCTTATGAAAATCATTTTTTTTTACAGTTATGCCTTCTATATAATTCGTACTGATCTATATTTTCGGTAGCTGAATCTTGTGTAATCATTTTACAGATTTAAAAAAAATTAAATTTTAAACTTTGCTTTTTTATTTGTGGTTGTTGGATGCATAACTTTATATTTGATAACTGCTTGGATGCATGCTTAGTGTGAACTTAGTATGGCAATATCCTAAGTTGCACAACGAGTGAGATCATTGATAAACGCATAAATTGAGGATCTAACTTTGCATATAAATACAGCATGTCAGTGAAACAGGATCAAGGACTGTATTAAAATAAGTAGCAAAGAATGTAGTTTTCATACATGTCAATACACAATAGTATTAAAATAAATGTGCTGCATAACAAGTTCTTTTTCAGACAATGGCTTTATAAAATTTAACAAACTCAGCTTGTAATTGGAAAAGCAGATTATAAAAAGAAATAAAGGATTTCAATTATTGTTCTTCATTTTTTCTGTAACAAAGTATGAAAAGTGACTTGGTGCATTGTGTATGAACATAATTTTTATTTAATTGCCATTTTTGAAGAAGGGTAGGCAGTTTTAGAGCATTTAGCATAAAATAGTATGCTTTGCATATTATTTCTTTAAAATCAGCTCTAATATAGTCAGAGAAAAGTTTTATGTATCAGCATTTTCTGAACTACTGACAGTTTCAAATGTAAATTAGTTACAAACATAAATAAAACAAAATAAGGAACTGTGTGACTTGAAGTTTGCATAAGTCGAAGTACTTGTATTCCTTTTGTCCAAAGTGATTATAAATTTAATTGAATTCTTTTTTTTTTTTTTTCAGTTGAAGTTAAATTTTATGAAGATGATCTTTTTGTTGTGTTCTACGGGTTCGTGGATTTGGAGTAACTGATGATAACACTTAATCAAAATGCAGTTTATTCTTCAGTATTACACAATCCAGTTCCAAAGACGCATTACAGTCATTGAGGAACTACAACAAACATAATCGGCAACACAACCTTTAGGCTATAATGTTGAAGACAGCTTCATGGCAAAGCACTGAAGTACAGCTCCCGACTTGGTCGATCACTCTCAAGCTAATCTCAGAACTCAGGATACTCTACTTCTTTACTGGGTTAGCGTTGACTTTAGGGTACCCCTTGTATTATCGCGAAGTTGTTATTTCATTTATCGCCAAGTTGTTGTCTGATTTATGACAACACGAGTAGTTGAAGCTATGGAAACCCTATTATGACATAATTGTTTGCTGTGAACTTAAATCACGGGAAAAAAATTTGGAAAGTGTGCGTTGGATTTTGGGTAAGGGCTTGTGTGTACTGGATAAGTATGTTGTTATTTTATGGTTTACACTGTAAATTGGCTGAATGTGGTAAGATTAATTTGAATTTTCTGTAGGATTTGGAATGAAAGAGAAAAAAGCATTAATTGTCTGGTGTGTAAATGAAGGTTTACTTAGTAGCCATTATTAAGTGTCTTATTTGAAGGAAAGAAATGCATATGGTTGAACATTGGATATTTTCAAACGGAGGTTTTTTTTTTACTCTTATTTTTGTGAATTTATGTGGCGACACCAGTGTACAGATTCCAGTTCAAATAATTTTAGGAAGTGTTTGGTTGCTGTTAAGAAATTTTGTTTGACTGAAGATGCATAAATACATAAATAAGGTAAGTGGATATTTCCTTCGTGTAGTGCTAAGATGAATTTCGTTTTCTATGTTATTTCATTGTTTGATTTAAAATGTAGTTTATTCAGATTATATATTTTTTGTCGGCTGCTCTTTTGACTTTCCAAGTGAATATAGTTCGATGTGTACATGGACAAATTCAAGGCAGTACGCAATGCCATTTTTGTGCAATTCTGGAATTTTTTTTTTTTTTTTTTAAGTGAAAATAGGTCGATGTGTACATGGATGCTGAGTTTGTGCAATTCTTTGTCTTGTTATTTTGGCTTTATGTAGCGGCGATTTTTACAGAAGCCAAAATGACAAATCAAAGAATTGCTCAAGCTCGGTATCCATGTACTGCCAAAAATTGCCAAGGGGTACCCTAAAATATATTTTTACCCATTACTGAATTCAAAATAAACCTACTCCACGTATAGACAGGATATACATATAGCCTTTAACCTGCCTTCAATAATGTTCTTCGGATAACCGCTGAGAATACATTTTAGAATGTTCTTGCTTTGGCTGTGGCATATCGCTGATTTTGTCACCAAATGCACGATTATGTGCCAAATCTGGCAACCTTAACCTCGTTTTGCAAAGGCAAAACACCGCAGCTGGGCATTTCTCAGCACTATAATTCAGACAAATCTATAGATGTAGTTGTAGTAAACACTATGTAGGTACTAAAGATGATAGGGAGTTGAAAAATTAATGGATTTCTGAAATTCAAATGATTTCATTTTTGTTAGAAAATATGATGCTGGAAAATGCAAGTTTAGACAGAATATTCAAACTTTAAAAGACAGTATCATTTCATGTCTTTTAGGAATCTGAAATGGAAACTCAATAATAAATTAGCAAGCTGTTCATAATGATGATGATTTTAAAAGATATGTTTTTATAGGTTTGTAGAAAAAAATTTTAGAATTTTATCTTTGAAAGAAATAGGGATCTAACTGATATTAAAATTTGCATTTTGATATAACTGTTTTTGTAATTCTCACTAACATTTAAATCCCATCATGGTGCATAAATGTTTCCCATTTTAGTTTCAAGATATACAAGGTCAATAAGACAAGTACATTAAATGGTATCATGTAATAATTTATTTCTGTTTATGTTAATATGATTTGATGATACATGTGTAACAATTAAGAAGTAATATTTTAAAAATAAGCTATCATGAAAAAAGTTATTTTGGCTACTTATTATAACTAATTTTTAAAAAAAACTGTTATGAATGATAAATCACTTGGTGAATTCACTTTAATGCAGCTCAATGACTCATGTGTTATTGTACTGAACATCCTTTCATGACCTTCATTGGAAGGGGCTACAAATTAACAATCAATTAACTTAACCCAACCTCGCTAAGAAGGAATTCCCCTCTGGATGAGAATTCCCGAGTTGAAGATATGCTTTTTAGAATCATGAATTTTTTAATTTTTCCGTGTGCAAAAATTAAATTCATTTATTTTTCTTGATATTTTTTCGATCTGTTATGCATGTATTTTTTTAGTTGAAAAATGTGCAATTTTTGTTTAATATATCTGTTACTGGCAAAGTTTGAAATCTGGCATTCCATAGAATGGCATTGTATATAATGCCTAAAACTAGCCGGCAATGTATGAAACGATTGATATTTCACACATTTCCTAGGCATTCTATATAGAATGCTAAATGACAAACAGGCAAAGTAAGAAATACATTTCTGATTCGTTTTGAAGAACCAAAGCTACTTAACCAGAAGTTAATAAATGATGTAAAAAAGCCAAAATGACTACTAAGAAGGAACCATGGGACTACTGGCCATTGAATTGTTAGTTTGTGATGTTTGTTAAAAACAAAAGTACATTCATTTATCATGTTAAAGAAAGCCCCAGTACTATACAGTATTGCATCACAGATGTTGAGTCATTTCCCATACTTCATGAAAACTCATTTTAGTACCGTACACGGACAGGGTGACAGAATGTTGAAAGAACTTTCAACCAAGTACAAAAACGTTACACTTAATGGTATTGAACTGTACATGCCTAAAAATGTATGACATTACATAGAATGCCTAGGCATTCTATAGTATGCCGGCATTTCATTACTTTGCTGGTAACATATCCATTATGGTATTTGATTCTCTTTGAATTTGTCAAAATGAATGTAGCTTTCATGATTTTTTTTATCATTGTATTTTTATTCTAGCTATCAAAATCTAAAAAGAGAAGGATTGTTGATTCTGGTAATATGTTTCTCTTGAAATTTTTTGCTATTTATTTTATTTGTGTGTGTGTGTTATTTATCTGCTCTGTGTATCAAAAAAGTATTTTCAAAATTACCAAATTCATGTGAGAAATATTGTTTAACCATTAAATGTTCAAATAATCAATTTGCAAGAAGATACTGTAACTTTCTCCCCTCAGCATTTTTTATTGTATGATATATAAACTTTTCATGTAATCATATAATTTCAATTTAATATCTGAATTCAGAAAATGGACTGCTCAAGATCACTGATTCCTAAAAATTTTGAGACTTCATTTCTTTGTATGTACATTCAAGGCAATTTATTCCAGCTTTCAATATCCTAGCCCAAAATTGGTCATTCTTTTTTTAGTTCCTTGTACGAATTAAAGAAAGTATTGTAATCAGGAAAAATTTTGGGTACCGTATTTCAACGAAAATGTCCATTTTGACCACTATCGAATGCAATTTAATGATGTTTTTGCGTGACATCTGTACATAAGGACATAATAAAGGATTCTTTTACCCCAAACGAATTAAAAAATGATTTAAAATGAATTTAGAAGAGGCTTTTTTCATACCACCTGTACATACTTACGTGTGTATGTATCTTGCATAACTTAAATACGAGTAGCTTTAGAATGTGGAAATTTTGTTTATAGGATTGCTATAGCATGTAGTTGTGCACCTCCCTTTTTCGTGCAATCGGCTGCACCAAAAGTATATAAATATATATATATATACAGTAAGACCCCGCTTAACGCGGGGGATACATTCCATCAAAGTAGAGCGTAATGCGAAACAGCGCTAAACGAGGCTATCTTTACATGTAAATATTGGGGTTAGGGGAAGATGGCTAGGAAATTGGTTAGGTATTAAATTTAAAAAGTATGTTTTTTTAATAAAAATAAAACCAAACATTTATATCTTAAAGCCCAAATTAATACCACATTATTATTTCTTGCAAAAATAAAAACAAAATATAAATAACAAAACGAATATTTCTTAAAAAAAAAACAATAAAATTCTAAGTCAGTCATATTTAGTTAGCCTTCCGCGTTTTCAGTGTTCTGCCTTTTTGTGACAAAAGCATCTAATATTGTTTGCCTTTTTCTTTTGCGTTGTTCTCTTAAAAGTTCTTCTCATAAACGGATAGAGCATCTCTAACACCACGCCTTACTTTTGAGCTTTGAGCTCCTGTCAAAATTCGGATCATTTTCATTTTCAATGAATTGATCCATTATTTCAGTTATGGTAGACAAAACTCCTTTTTTACAAACGCCATCGAAAGTTCTTTTTGCTCTTCTTCTGAATCACTGCTGTCAACATTTTTGTTTTCTTCTTGTTCAGTTAATTCCTTGAGCTCATCATTAGAAAGACTAGCCACTGCTTCTTGAATTATTTCTTCGACATCTTCCACATTTACCCCTTTAAAATATGTCTGTACAATACCGCACCAAACAAGAAATACAAGTACACTCTTTGAAATACAAGTACACTCTTTCGGATATGTATTTGAAACCTATCGCTGCATAATATTTCGTGGAGTCCCCGTATGCTGCGAGCGATTTTGTGGAATCCCCGGGTTGAAATAAAAGAGCGCTAAACCAAAACAGCGCTAAACGAAACAGCGTTAAGCGGGGTCTTACTGTATATATATGTGTAGACATATATACCCACATTGTTACTCAGCTCCGTGAGCTCAGATTTTTTATTTTTGTATGTTGGTAAATTGTGCATTATTTGCTTTAAAAATGATTGAATTATGTTGTTCTTATCTTCTGTTGGGGTTTTTATGTCTTTAGTTAACCTGAATGCAATAGTTGTACAATTATCAACAATTTAAAAGTTGTTTCAGTGTGGCTAAATCATAGCAGTCGTATTTGTTTACATTTGAAACTTAGCAGAATAGTGCATTTGTTGCCAATCCAGAGAAACTAATATTCACAAAACAAAGATCTTTTAATATTCTGAATTTAATCATTCTTAATCCATTCTGAAATTATCATTTCAGTTATTAAATTATCCCATATATTAACTCAGTATAGCATCCACAACAAATTAAGTCAGTTTCTACGCCTTCAGTGTCTTTTTGCCAAACGAGACCAAAAGTAAACTTTTTAGTTTTGTGCACTGAAAAACGATTCTAATTTTGATTGTAAAAATTGTTCTTTAAATTGTTTTAATTATTTTTATGTTTTATATTTTTCAATTTTTAATAAAGATATTGAGGTTTTATGTATTTTACCTTGCAGCGAAGTGTGAACTGAATTAATTGAATGAGAAATATATCTCTAATGAAATTCACAGAAATAAGTTTTAATGAAATGCAGCAAAAGATGCATATAATTTAATATTCTGTACAAGAAAGTTATGTGCTCTACACACCAGATTTCCCCCCCCCCAATTTAGATAAAAAAAGGCACTGTATAAATTATTTACAAAGGGGTACAACATAAATAATGATTTGGCCTTCTGGAGGCATTGATAAAGACAGTACTCACTTTTTCTCCATTGCTTCCAATAACAGCAACTGTCAAAAGCCAATCCACTATCTTTCTGCTCTAGCCATGCCTTTCATTACCAGTTACAGTCGGATATTATGAGCCCTGAACATGTATTTTACAAATTTTCTTTTCTTAGTTCCTTTTGAAATGTTTTGTTACAAGCCTTTACTGCTAATAAAAATCTGTATATATAAATTACATAGGATACAAAATATTTGTTGCTTCTGCTCATATTCCAAGGGTAGTGCAAAAGAGGTTTCCACATTTCTAGAATGATTTCGATTAAGAATTTTAAAAAACAAGTATTTTGGAATAAAAATATTTGGCAACAGCTTATTATTTAAAATGAGAAATATCTTCTACTACTTTTAAATTTCTTTCAAATTGTTGCATGTGCACAAGCTGTAGATTGAAGAGTTTGTTTTTGCGCTTCCCGAAGAGAAATATTCCTATTTTATAATTCAAAAACATTGTAAAATGCATGGCATTGAGATTTCTTTGTTCTAAATATGCAACATTATAAACTGGAAAGGGGAAAACTGTCAATCATTACTTCTACATGGAAAGATGACTCCAAATGAATACCCAAAAAATATATATATTGTTTCCGATGTTCCTAAAGTTAAACTGTTTGTGATAAGAGAAAAATCTGCTAATGTAGAAATCAACTGTAAAGTTTTTAAACACATCTGTAGCAACAATAAATGAAATAATAAACTAAGATTTACAACTTTCTAATGTTGCGTGCCTCTAACTAGCACGCAACCTAGAGGTGACTGTGAAAGCTTGTATCAACCACAGAGTCTTATAAAGGGTTTAAGTCCCTTTTTATTCAACGTACTAAATTACAATTGCGTCCTCTTGACGCTTACAAACTGTGCCAACTAGGCAGTCAAATAAAAATAAAAACCTGAAAAGAAAGTAAAGACAATATTCTAACTACGAGGCTCTCTAAAATAACTAACTCACCGCGTTTTACAAAACCGCTGCTAATTCAGCAGACTTGAAGCTCACTGGAACAATTGCAACTACTTCCCGCCAAGCACATAGGCCGCAACGCGGGGTTCTTCAATTCTCGATTTCTACCTCCGCGCTCGCTAAGTAAGAATAACTCTCTCACCGAACTCGTTTCCTTCTATTTAAATCATACTACTTCCGCTGATAATTTGAATGCCTTGCGCGTTCTACTAAAATTTACATATTCTGGCATTGGCAGTTCCAGGGGAAAGTAAGGCTTGACAGGAAAGATAGTTTAAACTTAAAATAAATGTTAGTTAAAATAAATATAAACCCTACATTTGCCGCTGCCAGAATTTGGAAAACTTGGAAGCAGGTCCTACAAACGACCTGTTGTAAGTTTATCTAATTCTGAACTAACTGGCGAAAGCCTCGTTTACACAAAAAAAATCTTATGTAACAATTATAAAATTCTGTTAGTCGTTTACAAAGCTTTCTTCTTACAGCAACTTTTCCTGGACTTCATCAATCAATCTTGGTCTTTCCTTCCAGCATCTGGAAGGAATAAGTATCAGTATCTTTCTACATACATTATAATTTACACTTTCTTGACACAATAAATTTTTGTTTTTAAACGATTTCGTTTTTCTTAGTTATTGCTTACTTCACATTCATTCAATTTTTCAAGCATTAATTTAACTTTACCCTGGCTCTCCACCATGTGTGGTGTCAAACGGGAATATTCGTGTTTTAGTCTTACAACACTTCCCCTAACCACCATGATTTGTTAGAATTCAACAACCAAATAGACACACCTTACTCGACATTCTACAACTCAATGAGCTACTTTAATATTCTTAAAAATTCAAATGTAGGTGGAGAACCCTACAAAACACATTCATTCTAACTTCCCCCTCATTCATCTTTAAACATGCAGGCTTTCGCTCTAAAGCATGACTTTACAGTTTAATACTTAAATTTTGACTTCATTGCTTTTAAGCATTCACTTTTAGCATCTACAATTTTATGCTTCTAGACTAAATTCTACTTTTACATAACATTCAAGTATTTACATACATTTACAAAAGTTTAATACATATGCTTTTTACAATTTACCATAAAATGAATAAGAGAAAATAAATTTTTACTTTACTCATTCTTCGCCAAGCTGGCGGCACTGAAACTAAAATTCTTATTAATACAAGAATACGAAGTTATTTTTTTTATCTCGGCCAAATTTTGGCTTTAACATAACAGAATTAGTCTTTCGACCAACAGAAAATGCTTGTTTTTAGCTTTTACACTTAAAGAAAATAATACTTTTGCCTTAGCTAAATAAAGTAAAACAAAACTAAGTCTCAACCGAGACATATTGACTTTCGTCAAAACATAGAACTTCGTACTTATGCATAACATTTCGGAACAAAAGAGAAAAAAAATTTATAGAAGGTTTTAACTTATCTTTGAGTTTTCGATGCTTGAAACTCCTCCGTCATCCGTTTTTGGCAAAATTGATCCCAAGTTAGAGGTTTCA